CAAACGATACAGTGATTCTAAACGAAACAAACAATGTTTTAATTGTGGCAAAATCGGACATTTTGCACGTGAATGTAAAAATAAAGCAAAAGCTGAAAATAACACGCAATTGAAAAATTCGGAAAAATCTGTAAACAATAATTTTAGCTATCATGTTGAAGATGCATTTATTAGCTCAATAAAAGACAATTATTGGTGCCTAGATAGTGGATGTACTGCCCATTTAAGTGCAAACCGTGAATATTTTACAGACTTTCAAAAATCGAATAAAGTGCTTAACTTAGCAAACGACAACACAACAAATATAAACGGCGTCGGTAAAATGAAAATAACTGTAGACGTATACGGTCGTGATAATAACATTGATCTTAAAGAAGTTCTATATGTCGAGGACTTGCGTACAAGTCTACTTTCTGTATCAAAAATAGTAGACAGCGGATATGAAGTGCATTTTCGCCCTTCAGATGCAATCGTATTGGACAAATATCAGAAGGTTATAACTAGAGCGAAAAGATGTGGAAATTTTTTTATTGTTGAAAATAAAAATCATTTTGCACAAGTTGCTGAAGAAAAATGTGACATTGAAAAGTGGCACCAGAAAATGGGCCACATAAATGAAAACGATCTTAAAAAATTGGCTAGTAATAACCTAGTACACGGATTAAAATTAAATCCTAAACAAAAACTTCCGACTTGCGAAATTTGTATTAGTGAAAAACAAATACAAAAACCATTTCCTAAGAGTAAAGAAACTAGAACAAGTGATTTATTAGAGATCGTGCATAGTGATGTGTGCGGACCAATGAGAACAGCATCAAATTCGGATGCAAAATATTTCGTAACATTTATTGATGACAAATCACACTATTGTCATGTATATTTTATAAAACAAAAATCCGATGTATTAAATGTATTTAAGCAATACAAAAGAGCAGTAGAAACATTTACGGGTAAACGAATTAAGGCTTTACAATCAGACAATGGTAGAGAATACGTTAATTCTGAATTTAATTTATTCTTGAGGAAATTTGGTATACAAAGACGCTTAACTGCTCCATATACGCCGGAGCAAAATGGTATTGCTGAACGTAAAAACAGAACTCTAGTTGAAATGGCCCGTTGCATGATGAAACAAGCTGAAGTTCCGCCAAATTTTTGGGCAGAGGCCATAAATACAGCGTGCTATATTCGGAATAGGTGTCCTACAAAAGCATTGAATGGTGTAGTACCGCACAAGTTGTGGACTGGTAAAATGCCAACTATTGTACATTTTCAAGTATTTGGCTCTAAAGCATATGTCCTAAAAAAGGATAAGACTAGAGATAAATTCGATTCTAAGTCAGAACCTTACATGTTTGTTGGATATTCAAACGAAGCGAAAGCCTATCGGCTGTGGTCACCTACAAAACGAAATATAACAATAAGCCGTGATGTCGTGTTCGTAAACAAAAATATCTATCATAATAAATACGAAAACATTTATATTAACAATGAAAACGACTGCCAAAAAAATGATTATATCGATATTGCGTTCGAAAATTGTGAAAATCAGAAACTGTCGGTCAATCCGAAAATTGTAGAAAATACAGATACGCGAGAAGAAAACTCCATTCGTAGAAGAGGTCGTCCGAGACTTATTCGCACAAATTCACGCGGTAGGCCTCGAAAAGAATATTACACGTCAAATCGGAATGGTGAAGAATCATCCAACGAAGACGAAAATACAAGTTCAATAAGAAAAATTGCTGATAAAAACCATTCAGATGATGAACCTGACAACAACGTTTTTGAAGATTGTGAAATGGCGTTTCTCACTACATATCAAACTCCAGTAACGATTTTGGAGGCACTTGAAAGCGATGAAACAAATTCCTGGTCAAAAGCGCTAGAAGACGAAATGGTGGCACAACTAAAGAATAAAACATGGGAAGTGGTCGAAAGACCGAAATCACGAAAAGTTATTGGGAATAGATTCGTGCTTCGAACTAAAGATGACGAAAAACAGAAAGTACGATTAGTAGCGAAGGGTTTTGCACAACGACCAGGTGAAGACTTTCATGATACGTTTTCTCCAGTCGCTCGTTCAACATCTATAAGACTACTTGCGGCACTGGCAGCAAAAATGGATTTGGAGATCCATCAGATGGATGTCATTACAGCATACCTAAATGGAGAGCTCGAAGAGAGTGTCTTCATGGAAATTCCCGATTATCTTATACCATTCCTGAACAAAGTTGTTTCATCAAAACCAGTGGGAAAAACTTCAACAATATTGTGTGGAAAAGTTAAAGAAACAGCGCAGCATTGGTTAAAGGCGATTAAATCAAGTAAGTCACCTGTATGTTTATTAAAGAAAGCTCTTTATGGACTCCGTCAGTCTGGGCTATCATGGTACATGAAATTGACAAAGAAACTACAGAATATGGGTCTAAGTGCAGTACAACAGGATCCTTGTGTATTCACTAAGCGAGAAGGCAACGACATTGTTTTGATGACAATATATGTAGATGATTTACTAATAGCGTCCAATAATAAGTTTCGTATAAAAGAAATAAAGGCTGCACTTGCGAATGATTTCGAAATGAAGGATTTGGGAATAGTAAGTAATTGTCTTGGCATCGAGTTTCATCAAAATTTAAGCAAGCATCAAGTTTTTCTTTCACAAGAGAAGTATGCAAAAAGCATCATTGAAAAGTTCAATATGAAAGACTGTAAACCAGTGAAGACTCCCATAGAATTGAACATTAAGTTAACGAAACCAACAAAAATTGATGAAGGTGTTATGAAGATGTATCCCTATCAAAGCTTGATAGGAGCATTAATGTACTTAGCTGTTACAACTCGACCTGATATTGCGTTTGCTATAAACTTTCTTAGCCAGTTCAATTCAAATTATAACGTGGAACATTGGAAAGCAGCAAAACGAATTCTAAGATACCTTAAAGGTACAAGCAACTATGGTCTATTGTATGAGAAAAACAATGAAGAATTGTATTGTCTGGTTGACGCTGATTGGGGCGCTGACTTAAACGATAGACGTTCATATTCAGGGTATGCGTTCATTATATCAGGAGCAGCGATATGTTGGGAAGCTCGAAAGCAACGTACAGTAGCGCTTTCAAGCACTGAATCAGAATATATGGCCATATCTGAGGCCACAAAAGAAGCGTTATATCTAAAGGCAATCCTTGATGATGTTGGCATTACAAGTAAAACAATTGAAATCTTTAATGATAATCAAAGCGCTCAAAAATTAACGGAAAGCTTCAGGTATCATCCACGGACAAAGCACATTGATATTCGTTATCACTTTATTCGCAGCAAGGTTAACGACGGCACTGTTAAAATCAAATATATGCCAACAGAAGAAATGCCCGCAGACGTCCTTACCAAAGGACTCACTACAGAAAAGCATGTTAATTGCTTACGGAAATTAGGAATGAAATATTAAAGTCATATTTTATACATAATAAAAGCACTTTAAGAGGGGGTGTTGTTATGTAAAGTACTTTTCAAATATTAATTGCCTGGCAACTCTGGCCTGTCATTATTCTATATTCCTTTTGTAATTATTATTCATTATTCATTTTTAGTATAGTTAATAAAGCGAAGTAAAGAACATGTTAAAAATACATCGGACCGTGTTTCACTTTTGCTAAAAATATATAATAGTCCTTTATTTCTTTCTTTGCTATTCAAAATCCCTCTAAATTTTAATAAGGCTTCTTTGTCACCATACAAAGAAAGTCTAGCTTTACAGCAACACGAATACTTTATTCAATTATATATTTTATTTATAATAAAAAACAAATGTTTAAAAAAAATTCTTACCTGTTGTTTGTTTTGAATTTTGATTGTTTGTTTATGTTTACATTTTGTTTCTTGTGTCAAATATGTCAAATTTCGATCATTTCCAATGTTGCATTCGTGATATTTGGTATAATTTTGGTCGAATTCTGTTTACTATATTTTATAGTAAATAAAAAACCACGGAAGCTCTTTGTATCGTTAATGCAATTTACTCAGTAAATGAAGCTTACTAAGTACGTAGTGGAAACGTACTATTACTATAATAAGTTCAATCATATATTAAGAGTGCTGTCGTACTTTCACCAATACAAAATTCTAGAATACCATATTTACGTTACGAACTTTAGTGAACTAACTTTGCTAAAGTTGATTTCCAAACGTTTACATTGACATTTTACAGAGGGCAAAATCATAACTACTTTGAAATACTTTACATTAGTAGCAAATGTGATTTGCTAAAACACATTATCAGTAAATCATTTAAAAGAAAGAATTTCTTATTACTAAATATTGAATTATATTATTAATTTGTTAAATTAGTCAAAAAATCTCCTAAATAAAGTTAAAACTAATTTTTTTAAACTAATGCAATTATCATCTATATTTTCTAATTTGTTTCACACATCAAATTAATTTTGGATTCAATTCAACTGCTTTTGTTTTATTCATAAGCTGCGATCATTTTTGAATGATCAATGCTTTATTTAATAATTTAACATTTTATCGATTTAATGTGAGTTTAGTATGCTAAATAAATATTGTGAAGACATTTTTTTAATTTTTTTACTTCTATACTTTTCTAGACTTATTAAAATGCATTAGTTTATATGAATTAAATTAACTTTAGAATTTAATTACATATGTATTAGTATTAGAATTGTATTAGTAATAACTGATCTCAAAATTTTCATAATAGATTATGATAATACTAATCCAAATGCCCTATTTGAAAATATCAAATTCATTTACAAAATTGCAAAAGGTTAATAACAAATTGCATAAAGTATATAAAAAAATTAAGTAACACTAATTTAAATCCATAAAGTTAATTTATGTGCTAGAATATCAATGTTAATGATATATACAGCAAATGGCGTCAGGAAAGTATAAAAATTTTTTATAATTTAAAGTTCTGGTAACCCTGAGTAAATAAAAAGTGCTGATCGGCAGTTCTGCATTATTTTTAAAACAACAAAATCATTATTCGTTGAGCCGGTGATTTTCTTTGTTCATTGTGCAATTATATTCTATCGTGTTACTTTGTCGTTTAATATAATATATATTATATAAATATTAAATTTTAAAGAGGAAATTTGTATTTAAATATATAATTAATAAGTAATTTCAACAGACACTATTAAAACGGCAATAAAAATAAATTATTGCTGCGTAATTTTTTATAAATATATTGTGGATAAAATCATATAGTTTTTAAAACTTTTTATTGTATTTTAGCAGTATGAAGTTCATCATTTGTTGGGCGTCGCGTCGTTCGCTTATCACAATTTTATTTGTTTTAAGTATTGCTTGCAGTTTGAATAATTTTGCTACCGCGGAAAAAAACGCCAATCGTCGAAGTTTTATAAATCCTTATCCAAGATATAAATTATATAATGATGGCGATGATCCTGGAGAACCATTGTTTTTGACACAATATATTAATACACTACCGCCTGAACAGATTCGCAACATGTCACAGGTAAAAGGCTCGCAATTTCTTGGTGTAGAAAGTTACTCTGGCTACCTGACAGTTGACGTTAAATTCAATTCGAATATGTTTTTCTGGTATTTTCCTGCTTTGGAGAGTCCGGCTTATGCACCTGTTGTATTATGGTTACAAGGTGGACCAGGTGCTTCATCATTATTTGGACTTTTTACGGAGAATGGTCCTTTTGATATTGTATCAAATGGTCATTTGAAATTGCGGAATTATACTTGGTCACGTACACACAATCTAATTTTTATAGATAACCCTGTTGGTACCGGATTTAGCTTTACAGACCATGAAGAGGGTTATGCAAAAAATGAGAAAGATGTTGGCCGTAACTTACATGAAGCTGTTCAACAGCTCTATGAAATTTTTAATTGGAAGACTACGAATGGTTTTTGGGTTACAGGTGAATCGTATGCTGGCAAGTATGTACCAGCATTAGCATATCATATCAGTAAAGTACAAAACTCTATTGATACGCGCGTATTTATACCGTTAAAAGGAATTGCAATTGGTAATGGTCTATCTGACCCACAACATCAATTGAAGTATGGCGATTATTTATATCAACTGGGTTTGATTGATGACAATGGTTTGAGTCTATTCCATGAATATGAATTGAAAGGTATAAACTGCATTAAAAGACATGATATGAATTGTGCTTTCGATACATTTGATTATCTTATTAATGGAGATTTAACTAATGGTTCACTTTTTAAAAATCTTTCCGGTTTTGATTTTTACTTTAATTACCTTAAAACTAAAGACAATGGTATTGGTGAAGTTTTGGGAAAATTTTTGCAAACTACTGCAACTCGACGTGCCATTCATGTTGGTAACAAAACGTTTCATGATACTGACGTAGTAAATAAGGTTGAACTTCATTTAAAAGAAGATGTAATGGATACTGTTGCCCCTTGGATAGCAGACCTTTTACAACACTACACAGTATGCATTTACAATGGTCAATTGGATATTATTGTTGCTTATCCCTTAACACGAAATTACTTAAACCAACTAAAATTTCCAGGTTCTGACATATATAAAACTGCCAAACGAGAAATTTGGAAAGTTGGTGGAGAAATTGCTGGGTATGCAAAACATGCAGGCCATCTTATAGAAATAATGGTAAGAAATGCTGGGCATATGGCACCATCAGATCAGCCAGAATGGATGTTTTATTTAATTGATCATTTGACGCATTATAAGAAAAGTGGAGAAAGTACTAAAACATCAAATTAATTACTGTTAACTTTTAATGTTTGACAAACCATGGATTAGATTTATATATAAATATTGCTTTTTTTTTTAATTTATTCGGTTATTGTATTTACTTAACAGGTTAACTATAAATAAATTATTTTTAATTTGTTTAAATATGTTTACAATTAATTGTTCTATGTCACGGTTGGAGTTCTTTTTCTCTTTTCTCATTAATTTCATCTAAACCTTTAAAATTTCGTGCTACTAAAAAGTGTTCAGCAGAATCGGAACGACTTGATTGTGGCTTAACACGTTTTACTTTATCATAAAATCGAGATATATCTTTTTCAAGTTTCGCTACATCTCCGTTGTCCCATACTTTAACAACGAGGTTTGCACCTTTTGCAGACATAATTAAAGCAAACCGTAAAACAGAGTAACACAAATTGATTATATTTTCCTGATCCAACATGCGTATACCCGTCGCATTTGGCGCCATATCTGATAGAACACAATTTACTGCACGTCCTGCTAAGGTCTCTTTAAGCCGTTGTTGGGAAATTGGTTTTGTAAAATCCATACCACCAAATATGGTAGCTCCCTGCAAAATAAAAAATTAATTAAGTTTATTGATATATGTATTCTTAAATTATAAACCGGTATGCCATGGAAGTGTAACAAATCCATACTGTACACTGCACCTTTAGGTTGCTGTTGTTGAGAGCCAGTTGAATTAGATTTTGCTACTGCAATTTGAGTCCAACTTCCAGGCGCAGCTCCACAATCAATAACAACATCTCCTGGTTTTATAATTTTGTACTTTTCATTCATCTCGAGCAATTTAAATGCGCTACGGCAACGATAATTTAACATACGTGCTTTTTCTACGTATGGATCTGACAATTGTCGTGTTAGCCATTCTTGAGAACTTTTGCTTTTGCCTTTAAGATTTCTGGGTATTTGTTTCGCAAAAGGACGAACAAAGCTTATTTGTATATTGTGAATAATTTTTAATGAATTCATTTTTTGACTATAAATACTAATGTGAAAGAGGAGATCACAACAAAAACAATTCCATTGCAACAGCTGTTAAACAGTTGGTAAGATTCATATAATTTTAAGTGTTGCAAAGTATAGTAATTAATTAAAAAATAATTCCTTTTAGCAAACAATTCTTAACTACGTCAGTAGCTAAACCCAATTAAGAGAAGGCCGCATTGAATCACTTTGCAAAGATTTGTTGGAACTAAAAAATATAGTCCGCTAACGCGAATAGCTAACGTCGCATGTACTGTCTTTTAAGCAAAAGTAGTTAAAATTGGTATTTGCATCACATCAAATGCCATTATTATAGCAAATGGTTTTTATTTTCGGATGTTTAAATTATATGTAATAAATTATTTTCATAATTACAAAACGTTTAGTACGAGGGCGATTTGATAAGTCAGTGGCTTTTTGGTCTTTGATAGCCGTTTAAAGCAGACAACCTCGTGAATTTTTATGAAAATGGAAAAAAGTGAATTTCGTGTGCTGATTAAGCATTCGTGGCCAAAAAGCGTTTAGCATCAACTTAGCCTAACTCGCACACGACCTAAGTATTCAAAAACTTATTTAGGACGTGTGCGAGTTAGGCTAAGTTGATGCTAAACCAAATGGGAGATTTTTTAGGATTTTTTGCACTGCACATATTTAGCCATTTATCAACACGTATCGACACATCACTACATTATCGACACAACTTAGAATTTCCCTCATTTAGAACCCAACTTAGCCTAACTCGCACACGACCTAAATATTATTTGCTAACAATAGAATTGTAAGCTCTTTTACATGTATTAAACTGTGCTTATTTAAGTATGAACACTAAATTGTGGTCTGCAGACATGTATGGCTTAAAATTACACCTTGTTTCAAAGTGTATAGGAATACGTATACTTGGTTATCTTACATGCAGAATCGTCTATATCATGCTTTAATGTCGGTCTGGTATTATGCAGTTAAACATATATTTAAGTACAAATGTAATATGAGCGATTTCTGTAATGTGTTTTTCAACACTGTAAAATTATATGCATTCCTTATGAACTGTTTTGCAAAAAACGTCCTTCATTTTGTTAAGTAAGTTATTTTATTTGAAACCGAGTAATTAGAAGCCGAAATTTAAAATGTCGTTTGGTGATACAATGGGATACCTGATTTTTGGCAATCCAATAAGCCAAGGGCTAATAGGCGTTGTAAGCGGAATTGCCAAGAGTACTGTAAGTAGTAGTGTTTAGACTGATAAAAACATTGTTAATAAATGTATATTGTTTGTAGGGTATAACACCGAAGAACACGAATGTAAATAATGCTGTCGTGCCTGTTCTACCACCGCCAAAAGTAAATCTTCAAGATTTGATTGGTGGAAATTATAATTTTGTGCGTCTAGCCGGCATCAGTGGCGGTGCAGCTGTAATAATGGGTGCATATGGAAAAGCGATTATAGATCGCATGGAGGATCCAATGGACCAAAAAGAAGCTAGAACTCTTTTAAAAACAGCAAATCGTTTTCATTTTTTCCACACATTAGCTTTAATGACAATGCCGTTAGCAAGAAAGCCATATTTGGTAAGTATGATATGCCTTTATATTTATATATTCAAAATTTTATGAGTGTAATAGCTTAAAATTTATATAAAGTTATTCAAAGCTTAAAATGCATTTTAGGTATTTAATTAATTAATAATTATTTAATAATATTAAATATATACATTTTTTTATGTTTGCATCAATTTGATAAATATCAATTCAAAAAATTTATTTTAACTAACTTTTTTATATAATTACATTAAAACTCAAACTAAAACTTTATTTTGCATATAGTAATCAGTGTTACTTATTTTGAAAGATTGGTCATGTAGTACTCAATAGTTTTGCACTATTCCATTAAATTGTTGTTGTAACCAACAGTCTCAAAAAATACGGTGATTCCCCATTTACAATTTTATTGAAAAAGTTTTACCTTAACATCAATAAAAAAACTCTTTCATTGGTACTGATAACTATCTATCAGACACTGAGAAAAAGATAAAAACAACACAAGCATTCTAATTTTATAAGTATTTATGAACAAAACGGTTAATATTTGGTTAATATATTTCGATTAATATCTGCTCAAACAAAAATTATATCGTCAGCATTTTTAAAGTATATAGCAGTATTATTAGAAATATTCATGCTCTATTAATGGTTTATATTCTCCTTGAAAGGAGGAACTTTTACCTAGCTTTTACTAGAAATAAAACTAATAATACAGTAGAGGCTCAAAAATTAGAACCAGGAATTTCAGGAATTTGCGAAAAGTTTTAATTTCTATGAAAAATCATTAAAAAATTAATACTTTACATAAAAACTTTATTTTACAGTTGAAATCAATTCTTATTATGCATTATTGTATAAAATATTCAGTAATGTTTGTTTGTTTTTTAGATTTAGTTACATTTTTTACAATGTTATCGTTACGGTTATTGTTACTTTGTGAGCTATTCATTTCTTGTTTTGAACGCTGATGCATTTTTATCAGAATATACATCGTTCGTCTTTAACATTAGTCCATTAAGTGTACACTTTACTCATATAAAAACCATTTAAACAGATATGTTTCCATCAGAAAATATTCGGCATCAGGCAAAAAATTTTTTGTTTCCATTTCCTAAGTATAAGAAGCAGCAGCAATTATAGCACCCTTTTTGGATCTAATATAAGTGATAGCAGATTTTATCATATTGTTCTCCAAAGCTAAATAATTTGCTTGTACGCCCTTATCAAGCTTTTCTAATATCTCTGCTTTAGTTTTGCAAAAGCAATATATTTTTTATACTTATTTTATATTTTTTTTATAATTTTTACTTTTAATCAAAAGTGTTTATCTCAGTACATTTCAAGCAATTATAAAGTAATGCACGTCTCATTAAAGTGCGCATTTTGGGAATACCCTTTGTTCTTTTTGAAACAAAGTACGAACAATTACAGTTATCAACTTAAAAATTTATACAGAACTGTAAAAAAAAAACAGAAAAGAGAATTCGTTAAAAATTTGAATCAAAAGTACAACCCATATTAACATATTCCATCATCTTATCGAATATTCAAACCCCTAATTGGAAGCCTCAACTAATCGTCACATATGAACAACTTCGGAATAAACACACGGCCAATCTTGCAGTCTTGTCAACATCTTTGATGCTATTGGAATTATAGATAGAAATTGTATATGTTAATGTTGATTCTGAAGAAAATAATACCAAATATATATTGCAGACATATAAAATTTCATACATATAGAGGTAGACACTAAAGATTTTCCAGTTACTGACCAGGAAAACGATTGATATCTCCAAAAAGGTTTTCCTGGTAAAAAACAAAAGTTTTTATTTTTATACTTTTTAAACATTTATTTAAGCAGCTTTTTTTAGAGTTGCATGATTCGATTGTTAATTTTTTTATATAAAATATTAAATGTATCTTAATTGTTTTATATAAAATAATAAATATATCTTAATTGTTTTATATAATTTTACTTGATGTTTAAATTCATGTAATTATATATTAAATGAAAAACTTATTTTAATTTATATATATCTGTATTTCTATAATTTACAAATGAATGTATTTAGTAAAAATGTTTTATGCAAATTCAATTTTTTATTGTCTCATTTACCTTTTAGCATACATTTTTTTAATGTATAAATTTTTAATCATATATTATTTTTAATTTTAAGTCGAAACATTTTTAAAGCTTAGGTTTTTATTTAATGTTTGTATATATAAATAATATATATATTATTAACTTTAATGTATTAAAAAAATATTATTTGAACGGAATTTTCGACAACTTTTGTTACTTGTGCAAGTTTATTTAAAAAATAATAATATTCTTATATAAATCAACTTACTAATAATTTTTATTTATATTTTCTGATTATAATTATATAATTGACATGTTTTAATATTTTTTTTACAGTTAATGCTACACAATTTTTTAAGCAATTATTTAATTTTAATATTGTATATTTAGGTATATATATGTATATGTAATAATCTAGACTTTTCCTTTTTTAACAACCCTAAAAAGACTTTTATTTTATCTAATATTTATATATATATATATATATTGATATATATATAAATATATTTAAAAAATTACAAAATATTAAACATTGTTTTTTGTGTAAGTGAATTAATTACTGATTTTAAAGTAATTCATTTGTTTTTATCATAAAGCTAATACGTTAAGTTTGTTACAAAAATGTTTTTATAAAATTGATTTGAGTTTTTGAGCTTGGTTATAAAAAAAATAAATGCTTTTTCATAATAAGTTAAGGTCTGAATGTATATTAATGTATAAGTTTGAGTGATATTGTTATATTTTCAAATTAAACTAGAAATTCATATAAACTATTTTTTGACTTTTTAATAGACCGGCACTTTGATGGCAGTTGGCACATTTCTATTTGCTGGTCCAATGTATTATCGTGCCCTCACTGGTGATAAAGCATACGTGACTGCCTCCACAGTTGGAGGATTTTGTTTAATCGCATCATGGTTATCGTTAATATTTTAATTTTTTACTTTATAACTATTTAAGCTAAAAAATGAATATGCTTTATAAATAGTTTTAGTTAAAACCGAATTGTTATGTAATTAAAATAAATTAATTTATTGATAATTTCGTATATATTAGTATATCTTGTTATTTCATTTTAAAAATGTACTGATAGTATCAGTTAATGGAAGAGTTAATACTGAAAATTTACATATTAAAAATGTTTTTTTCTTATAAATTTATATAATTTTTGTTTTTTTAAATATATATATATAATTGATTTGTAAAAAGTGTTAATTTTCATAAACACTTTTTTTTATTGTCACACAAATAACTACTTTCATATTTTTCATCATTTTCATATGCGTTCTATACAATACAATGTGTATTTTATCAGTTGTATAAAAAAATTTTAAATAAATCTATATTTTAATTATTAAATCGTTTTATGTATTTTTTATATCTTAAACATAGATTATTGTCAACGTGGAACACATATTGCTAAATTCTTAAAGGAATTTTATATGTATCTATATATCTCATATTTGTTACTGTACAACATCGAGTTGAATTAGTTTATATTATTAAAATATAAGCTAATTTATATATAAAGCCATAAGAACATCGTATATGAATAAATCTTTATTTTATAATTATAAGTCCAATTTACTTTTTAGTATTTCTCACTTTATAAATTAAATAGGATATGAATTAAAGCATTTCAAAGCATTATGCATTTTAATTATGAATTAATATTAGCCCTAGTGAAGTTTAGCAAGTCAAATACTCGTACGGAATTAAACAATAACATAATAAGAGTAAAGGATGTGTAAAAAATGAGTTATTTGAAATTGTAGGAGATTAATAACTTGAATAGAAGTTATAAAAGCAAAGTCATAATATATACTTTCATCTTATAAATAAACAGTCATAGTTCTTAAATGTTCTGGAAAACATAACTGTTTCTGAATAGTATATAGTAAACATTAATTTGATATATAAGTTTTAAGACATGTTTATGTATATAAACGAATTTAAGTTGTATATAGTAATTTTTTTTTTCAAATACACTACTAAATACACTTCCTAATTTCAAAACATGTTTTCATACCATGCGAAAAACTATAAAGATAGACGTTGACTTTAGAAAGCATATATATATATATTGATCACTGATTGGTCCATTATTATTTTATAAAAGAATATTTATGTAGATAGAATTGCAAAAGATTGAACTTAGTTTTTAATCATGGTTAATAATTTTCCAGATATGTGGTAAAATTTGAACTTATATTTTGTATTCAAATTGTATATATAATATATATGATATAGCTTTAATCGTTGATACACAGTTCGTAAATAGTTTACTATATAAAATAATATACATTATGTAATACAATTATTTAAATTTTGATTAAGTGTTTTGGACATATCTTCGTTTTATAGAAATGTTATTTTTCTGAAGTGGATTAAACATTTCTTATAAACATTTTTTAGATTCTTTTATACATACATATCAAACTCTAATTATTGGATTATTTAATTTTTTTATTAATATATTTGTGATTTTAGAATACAATCATTTCGTTTTTGTACAAAAGCCGAATTTATTTCTGACTGTACCCGTTCAATATTTTAAAATGTACATTGGAATTACATATTTATATAAAATTTATATATAAAAATTTTAATTAACATTATTTTATTGTCAATGGAAACAAATTTCACTTTACGTTACTTCAATAAAAAGTACAAATAATAAGAATAACATTATTATAAGTAGGTTTGGCAGCACTGCTGTTTTAATAATATTCAAATATAATAATTATGAGTAATTGAAAATGAATATTTTATTAGAAAAATTTAAAAAATTTCCACCTCAGTTGATTTTAATTCAGTCAACTAAACTTTGGCCAGCAATTGAGTACTTGACTTGACGTAAATCAACTTTTGATTGATTTTTTCGGTATTGGTTCATTGTTAACATTTAAGTTATATCCTACTTACAAAATGCTATCCTTATATATTTTTAAAATTTAACAATAAGTATTTCATATACTTTTAGTATTTAACAAATTGTACATAGTTTACATTTTGATATATTTGTTTACAATTTTGATATATTTTAAAGGATATCCAGCAACAGGATCTGTTACTCAAAGTATTTATATTATTTTTTATTTTTTTGTATATTTTTCGATACTTTATTAGCCTAAGAATTTTTGCTGTGCTGTTTCAAAAAATAATGTTTTTTGAAATCTAGCATTAGCCGGGTGGTTTGTTATTGGTTCTAATATTTTAAGTATATAATCTTTGAACACTTTGGGTACAGAAAAATGTCAAGAATCTTTTTTCGCTTTTAAATTGTCTTCATGTGCCTGAAAGAAAATATTATAAAATATTTAAAACATTAAATAATTATTAATATTAAAATGTTAAAGTTATAATGTAACAATTTGAAAATAAAAAGATAAAATATGTAATTAGAGAAACGAATACATAATTGCTTTTAAAATATATTATTGAGATATTATTTTGTTTCGCCTTATAATACAATATGTATTAGTGTACAAATTCTAGACATAAACAAATGATTAGTTTCAATTTAAAAATATATATATAATATATATTAAAATATATAATATATATTAAAATATATATTATTAGCCTAACATATCGATCTAATGTATTTAAGTATCTCTTAAGCTTTTTCTCTGTTCTGTTTATTAATTATGTGGGGTATTGTATTTACCCTTAAGGATTTATCATTTATTACATTCATTGACCGTTATTAAAACCATATTTTATATCTTATTAAATAATATTTATTATCTTATAAAATAAACATTTTTAATAATGCGAAGTTTTTTTAAAGCTTTTTGAAATTATTTAAAATATTAATTTATAATTTTTTAATTTGCACCGGGCTTAAGTCATTTATATAACACACGTGAAAATGCTAAAAAAATTACAATTATTATTTGTGTTAAATATTTTTAATTGAAGTTTAAAAAATGTAATAAAAAGTTTTTAACAAAAATTAAAAAGTGTAATTTTTTTTAACATTTTTATGTATTAAATAAACAACCAAAGTCTGGTGAAAATTAAAAATCATATTGATAAAATTGGTTGTATTAACAATTATTTTTTATTTACCTAGTTTAGTTTTATATAAGATTATTGCCGATGCTTCGAAGTTTGTATTGCCTTCGTCTTCAACGCGGAGCATAAGAACTTATAGTATAGTACTTATATATAAGTATATTGAACCAAGTAAGAAATAAATTAATAATAAAAACTATAAATTAGTTCCAAAAACCCTTTTAAAATAATTCAGAATTATTTAATATTTTATGAAATAATATTTAATACATTATTAGATTTAAAAGCAAACTATAAATATAGAATTATGAGTCTTATATAAATTGAATAGTATCTATTATACACAGTTATTAATTTCAAAATAATTAATTTGAATTAATACAGTAAACTCTCAATAATATGCGCACTAAATAATTCGGATATCACAATAATCAAGGTACATTTTTCATAGCAATCTCTATAATGCATCGAAAAAATTACAATAATCCGGATACAAAACATTTTTATACCTATTCAGTACACAGTACCAGCAATATTTCCTACTTATAGAAGATTTTTAGCTTAACTTTAATATTTAATTTCTTTAAAAAATAAAGTTTCTTTTTTATACTTTTATTTACTCACCTTCTGTGCTACTTTTAGGAGATTATCAAATGTTGAATTTCCGGTTTGTTTAACCATATCGTAAAATATCTGTGATTTACTTTGTGTTAACAACTCAAATGGTGAACCGAATTCCACTACCTGTCCAGCATCCATGACCAACACTTTGTCTGAATCCATAACTGTATGAAGACGATGAGCAATTGTTAAAACTGTGCAATTTTTGAATTTATTTCTTATTGTTGTTTGGATGAGTGCATCAGTTTGTGGATCTACATTGGCTGTAGCTTCATCCAGTACCAAAATTCTATTTTCACGTAAAATAGCACGTGCCAGACAAACTAATTGACGTTGTCCAACACTAAAGTTACCACCACCTTCTGAAATTTTACTCTGTAAACCACTGGGAAGTTCAGCAATTACAGATTTTAATTTGACCTATATAAAAAGATAATATTATTTAAACAATTAATACATAATAAATTTTAATATGCAAACCTCTTCCAATGATTCCCATAATTTGGCATCAGAATATTCGTCGAATGGGTCTAAATTGTAACGCATAGTGCCAGAGAACAAAACCGGTTCCTGTGGTATAATTGAAATTTTACTGCGTAAATCATGTAAGCCCAGTTCATTTGTATCTCGACTATCAATTATAACCGATCCATCATTAAATGATAAACGGAAAAGGGCATTGATCAGTGATGATTTGCCTGCACCCGTACGTCCCACAATACCGACTTTTTCGCATGATTTTATTTCAAAATTAAGAGATTTAAGTACACATTCAGACTTTGGATCTGGGAAGTAACGTAAGCTGAGGTGATCGAACTTAATTTTACCCTGTTCTGGCCAGGTTTTTGGTGGTTTCTTATTTGGTTTTGATTCAAATTCACCTTCGGGTTCTATATGCTCATACTCAACCACACGTTCAACTGCTGTCATGTTATTTTCCAATTCAGCTGATTGGCGCATACCCCATTGAACCATACCAGTCAAACCCATAGCTTGCGTTATAGCTAAACCGACATCACCGCCATTTTCTGGTGAAAATATGAAGAAACTCAGTGTTATGATTGCAATATAAAGGACACAAAAGCAATCCAGCCAATAACCGAATGCACGACTCGTAGCCAAAAACATAAAATAGCCCGAACTGTGCACATCCTGGTAGTTATCGAATTCATGTATGAGTATTTGTTGTGCACCAAAAGCACGTATAGTCGCTAAGCCGTTCAGTGATGCGCCAAGATGTGAATAAATTGGTGAACGATCTATAAGTGAAACAAATATGTTTTTAAATATATTTGCTGTCAGATAAATTTATCAAAGCTTACTTGTTGCTTCCAAACGTTTAACATCGCGTGAAGTATTCAAATAAAATGCACGTAGAAAATAAAATATCACACCAAGTATTGCTGTAGCTAAAAGAAACCATGGATTGACTATTGATATAACAATAACAATGCCCGTTAATGCTAAAAATATTTGTAAACAGTCCATCATCACTGAAGGCAATACTTCATCAACTTGACCCAAATCTTTAGAAAAACGATTCAATATACGTCCAGAGGGATTAGTATTAAAGAAATACATAGACGCGCGCGTTATGCCGTTATACATGGCGTTGTGTAAACTAGTTGATGAACGCATAGCTAAATGGAAGAAGAGTACGCTGCGAGATAATGCAAAAATTATTGTAGCAACTATAATCCCAGAAAATATATAAATATCTACAGGGTCAGTATTTTCGCTCAAACGTTTATCAATCTGGTTACCAAAACGATCTTCGACACTTTGCGTATTGCCATTTTTGTTGACCCTATAATAAATTGTAAGTAATTTTTGTTAAATTTCAATTTAATAACAATATCACTTACCAATATGACAAAAAGTAGTCACCACCTGAAGCGAGAACCTGTGCTCCAACACAAAATAACATCATAATGCCAAATAATATATATGTTCCATCCGCAGCGAAATATTTTTTGTAAAGTTTTAAACCAATTTTACCCTCTACTCTTGTTTCCTGCACTTGCATTGGGGACTCACCAACAGCAGAATCCGCTACTGAACTCATAGAAGACACACTATTTTGTCTGGAACGTTGTTTGCTATTCTGACGCGATATATTTTTACGATCAGGCTTATCACCTTCACCAGCATCTTCTTTTTGTTCTGGTGCAGTTAACAACTTTGCAAAATCCAAACCTGTTTTACGCATTGATTCATATGTACCCACTGCACTTATTTTACCTTTTTCCATTATGACTATTAAGTCAGCTTGCTCGAGGAACTGCAATTGATGCGTGACTAATATTACAATTTCTTCACGTAGGAAGCCACGCATGCATTGATCAAACAAATGACGTCCGACATGTGTATCAACTGCACTCAGTGGATCATCTAGTAAATAGAAATGTGTTTTACGGTAAACAGCACGTGCTAAACTTATGCGTGCCTTTTGACCGCCGGATAACGAAGCTCCACGTTCACCGACAATTGTTTTATCACCAAATTGAAGCAATTCAAAATCACGTTCCAGTGCACAGTTCTTCACTACACTACGATAACGTTGTTTATCCATCGGTAAACCAAAAAGTATATTCTGTCGTACTGTGCCAGTAAAGAGCCAAGGATCTTGTGATGCATATGAAAACGTGCCATTCACATTTATTGAGCCTGATAAGGCGGGAAGTTCACCCAGTATAGCTTGTATCAAACTGTTAAATAACAGATTAGTCGTTTTTACTTCATTTCTTTATGATATATATTATATAGGAAACCCTAAACAGTAATTTTAAATACAACTTACCTTGATTTTCCGGATCCAACGGGACCAATTACTGCAACAAGTGTTTTTGGTTTAATTTTTAAGTCTATATTATCAAGCGTGTATTCTGTGATATTGGGATCCCATTTAGCTTTGAGTTTGCTGATAGTAATACCAGGCTCTCCTTGGATTTGAGCAGGAGTATTTAGCTTTGTTACACCATTAATAGGTTTTCCGTTCTCATGTAAGATCACGACAGTATGTTTATTATTGTCCTCATCTGTGCTTTGTGATTTATCATGTACATGAGTCTCTTCATGCATCATGTATTTCTGTATTCTTCTAAAGGATACTAAGGTTTCAGCGAATTGTGATATACCATTTGGGAAAAATACAGTCATGGTTATGCGTAAAATATTGTAATAAGCGGTAATAACGAAAGCTTTCTCAGCCGTTAAAAATTTACCCAGCAAAACATAACCGACCAAACTCGCGAAAACAGAAACGCGCGTTAAAAACATAATAAAAGACTGTAGTATACCGCGTATGTAATTGACGTAACGAATGGCACTCATTTCCTTCTTCCTTACGTACGCCACCATTTTCCCAAATGGTAATTCCCAAGCGTACATTTTAATTACTTGTATACCGGAAATAATCTCATTCATCATGCGTACACGCTCATCGGTCCGAAGTGCAGTACGCAAACGGAGTACAGATGTCTTTTTGCCTAAATATGCTTGCAGTGGTAAAAAGAGCAACATGAAAGCAACACCAAAAAGCGCTGAAACTCCAATCTGAAAAAGTCAAACAAAAGTCAAAAAAATATTTGAATTTATATTTATAGAATGTTATTTACTTCTCTAGACATCAAATAAGTAACTATTATAATTTCGAGTGGTCCAAGCCATAAATAATGCATATGTATCACAGATAAATCCAAACGCCCAACATCGTTTGATATTAAATTCACAACTTGGCCAGACGTGGTATCGCCCAACGCCGTTTTACTTAAACGCAAAGCCTTGCGATAAATCATACTGCACATGGCAATCCGAATTTTCATGCCCACATGAAGTATGCCCAGCATATAAGGATGCATTAACAGTACATTTACGCCACTGCATAATATTACACCGAGTGCATACAAATACGCAGTGGTAACATCTTTGTTTTCCTCTGAGTTTGCGTAGAATGAAACCAAGCCACCAAGAAATAGAGGTTGCGTTATACTATAAATGGATTAAGTAAATTAATATTTTTTTTAATGTTTATTATTTCAGCATATTTCGTTATACTTTACCGTAAGCCCACTTCGAGTAAAAATAATATGCAACCCATTAAAGCAAAACGCCAACCAAAGACTCGTAATGTAGCTTTTATTAAACTTGGCTTCTTGTGTTTACTCTCCTTGGTTGAAATTTCTTCTTCCCATGCTTTGCATAATTTATCACCGAGAAAGTCTAAAAAAAAATAATACATGATTATAGCCATCAACTAAAGATGAGATACCCTTTACACAAAATTTTAAACTTAATTGGGTGTTTGACTTTTACTTCAATGAGTTACACAAATCTTCATAAACCCTTTATACAAATAAAAGGATAATAATATAAGGTTTTTAATAAAAAGTTTTTTGATTCAGGTTCTACACTTGATTTTTTCAAAACAATTCTATGTTAATGATTATTTTTTGGTTTATTTTTCAATATGCCTATTTGTAGACTTAATTTAGGTAATATAAAATATTAGTTAAATATAAATCAACTACTTCTACTATTACATTAATACATACTAGACATATATGTTCATAACTACCTTAAATACCGCATTAACGTATTCTCCAATAACTTTTATTTTTTTTAACTTAGTGGCATATTTATATTACTAATCTGTTTGATATGTATTTAACATAATATCCGAGTACGTAGTCACACAGTCCATTAATTCCAATAGTAATATATTAACACTTCTTATATTTTATATTTTCAAAAATTTTTTTTATATTTTTTTTTTTATTTTTTTTTGCTAATACTGTTCTGTTATCTAATTTAGTTTAGTTTTGCATTAGTGTAATCTATATATTAGCATAGAACAGTGATTCTCCACCAATGGTCTACGGACCACATGTAGTCCGCGAGATTATTTAAAATGGTCCGTAAATAAAATTTAGCAGATATGGATACATAATTTGTAATTTGCCACTGAGACCTCACTTATCATATTACAAAATAAGCACAAAAAAAATTTTCAGGTATTATATACCTATTTTATAATCTATATATTATATATATCAACTTCTACATTATACCAGAGATGCATATTCAAATAATCATATAATTTATTATTCTTAAACTTTGTGGTTTCTAAAAAAAAAATTGGCAATTGTCCTAAGGATTTTGTATATATGAACTTCAACTATGAAAACCCTAAGAATAAAATTGATCTTACTTAATAATATTGAAAACATAAATATATTTAAATCAATTATAGCATCGAACTAACAGTAACAGCAATAAATAAGAACTATACTACTCTATCTATTAACACATACAGTTCATAGTAAGGTTGAAAGATTGGGCTAAATAAGACCCGCTAAACACTTGCAACAAAAAAAACAAGCGTGCACGAAAGTAACAACAAACACTAAAGCTTGAAAAGAGGCCAGTACACTTCTGCGTATTGATTCATATGGGTGTAATACAAAGAAAGTGTGGATCGGGTCTAAGATGATATATGAAGTGATAAATGCAGAACGAGTGCATATCATATTGTATATTCGCAATTTTACAGGAGAAGAAAAATCTGATTGAATACAATATGTATGATTTTTTAAGTACACAAGAGATCTTGCTTCCGAAATTACATTTTAGATCCCATTTTGCACAGAACAATTTTTGGCATTTTTTTAATTGTATTTAATAAATTAAATAAAAAGATAACAATATGCAAAAAGTCTCAATTGTATATTCGTTTTCCGAATCTTACTAATTGTCACCAACAGGCCAGTTGTAAATTTTATCCCAAAACTTATTATGTTCGATTACATATAGAATAAGTTTTAAGATAAAACCAGCTAATTTTTATCTAAAGTAACAATAAATACGTAGTATTCCTTTAGTTTTATGATTACTCGTAAAATAAAATCACTGTCCTTAGTTATTTGAAAGATTATTTTATCCCCTTTTTGGCACGACCAATGTCTAGTTCTCATGGAAAAATGTAAGGTAAAATTTTAAGTTATTTTCTTGAATGCCTCAAGATTTATCATGTTTTCTCTATTTTCTTATCATTGAATATTACTAAATCTGCAAATGCAAAGGGGAAACTCCTGGATTGTTATATTAGCTGACATTTTTGCTGTTAATACTCCCCACTTCTTCATTTATAGTACTGCTATGTTAGTTGCTAATTTGGCTGTTGTTTATTTAAATATACAGATATATTTAAATGGAGTTAAATATTAAAGGCATGCATGAGTGAAATGACGTACATAATATGATGATATATGATGTGTGATGATTATATGCCAAATTTTACATGATGTGATGTAAAATAAAATGAATTTAAAATTAATATTGTTTTTTTTTCATATGTATTTCATTCAAACATTAAAATATATTTGAGTATAGATAAGCAACTAAATCCACTTTCTACCGAGAACATTTTTAATATCACAATTGATTGCATAGGTAAATCATGGTGAGAATTTTTTTTTTTATACAAGTCATCAATTTAAAATAGTACTTCAAAATATTATAAAAAAAAATTTTTTAACAGTCTTTTTGAGTATTTTGTCAGTATAAGCATGTTTCATATGACTTGACATTTATTTCAATATCTTAAAAACAATTATGATTTGCAAATTTTTAGTCTTAACAATAGTGATAATCCATTTTAGTAAAATATTTTGGTAAACATTAATATTCCTTATAAATTTCAAGTAATTTTTTATCAGTCACGTACGTTATACGTTTTAATTTTTATTATAAAACGTGAGTGTAATAAAAATATTTGATATGCAATAAAAACTGCCAAAAAATAGTTATATTAATTATTAATAAAGCGCCAATTTACCCAATTGAAATATAAACATTTCCAACTTTAGTACAAAATACGTCACTAATTTTTTTAAAGTAATTACTTTAATAACAAAAACATTTATTTTTAGGAAAGAAACTTAAACAGTAATTGGTCGAATGCAATGCATAAACATTTCAATTTGAATTATCCTTTTGGAGGTAGTTGAAAAATAATTCTGCCTATTAGAAGTGGAAGACCACTTTCCATATGAAGCGATAACGCTAGTTAACGTTAAGGTCGTGTGCGAGTTAGGCTAAGTTGCGTTCTAAATGAGGGAAATTCTAAGTTGTGTCGATAATGTAGTGATGTGTCGATACGTGTTGAAAAATGGCAAAATGTGTGCAGTGCAAAAAATCCCAAAAAATCTCCCACTTGGTTTAGCATCAACTTAGCCTAACTCGCACACGACCTAAGTATTCAAAAACTTATTTAATTAACAATTAATTATGCAAAATTTTATAAATAAGTATCAACGTTCATTGTTCATGTTAATATAATTAACGCTTTTAAGAAACATGGTTAGACGATGCTTAAGACCTTATCGTGCTTAAGTTTAAAATAATGTATTGGTGACATAATTATGTATATAGGACGTGTGCGAGTTAGGCTAAGTTGATGCTAAACCAAATTGGAGATTTTTTGGGATTTTATGCACTGCACACATTTAGCCATTTATCAACACGTATCGACACATCACTACATTATCGGCTTATCTTAGAATTTCCCTCATTCAGAACGCAACTTAGCCTAACTCGCACACGTCCATATTTTCTTATTTTTATAATGTGACAAATATTATAGTAAAAAATATAGATCATTATATTCAAACTTCATTTGTTTTCAATTAAAAATAATAAAAATTTATATATACTGAACTTAGGTGTAAAAAGTTTTTACTAAAAACAGCAGTCTCCGACTACTGTACCAAAAAAAAAATTTAGCTCCCATCAGAAGAAATTTATTCAGATGAAAAGTTTTTTGTGATTGATTTAGTTAATAGCAAAGACTTGGAAAAAAACACTACCGATTATTTATATCTTCCTGTCAACTCATTACCTCATGACTTGCTTCAATAAATCAAGCACAAGTCACTCAATTTCTTGCCATGAAGCTTCTTGACTCCTAATCTAACTCACATAATTAACAAGACGTCTAGTTATTCTACTTTATAACTGTAGTCCTTACGACTCAAAAAGTAGATTAGAAAAATAATGTAATCTAATAATATAACCGCTTTCTTGGTTTCGTGATTTGCTAAATATTGTTATGTAGGACACGTCGCGCTAAAGATAACTGTTCCTTTTTATTGTAGAAGATAAACAATATATAATAGAAGTAGCACTCGAAAGAAGACGAGGTTCATGTAAGAGATGTGATTGCTTTTTTTTATTCGAATAACCTATATTGTTTAAATGTACGTTGAATATTTTGAATAAATATTTAAGAAAACGAACAACTATGTAGAAATTTATCCTTCTGCATATATTTGGCAATGACAATGGAATTATTTTATACTTATAGGTATTTAGAACCGAAGATCAGTTGAAGTTAAGCAATAACATCTTAGTTACTGTTTCAGATCAGTCATATCATATTACTGATACTCCCGTTGATGGTTTAAAAAAAAAAAACAACAAAAACATTTACTTAGTTTTACCGTCACAACCGTCGCACAGTGTGACAAAACACAAAATTAGGCGGTCATAATTCGATATTTTCGGAACCAGTAGAGATATTGATATGAAATTTTCCTAAAATATAGTTTTTGAGTTGATCTTTCTTTTAAATCTAAATTGAGCCCAATCGGCCTACCGGAACTACCCGAAATTTTTGCCCAAACATGGGGATTTTACTGTGGTCCCAAGATTACTTAAAAACTATGATAGGTAGAAAGCTGAATTTTGGTGTCCGGGAAACTTACGTTATTATCTAGATTTCAACATTTTTTTAAGGTTTTCCGCCCACTGCCACACCCACCCCCCATACAAAATTTTCATTATAAATCATTTATTATCGTTAAAAACACTTTTTGCACTTATTGGACTACACATATACGTGACTTACATAGCAACACAACATTACGCAAAAAATGGGTGTGATCCGCCCATTAGTTCCTCAGTTATTTGCAGTTTTATGCAATTTTAGCGAAATTACGATTTTACAAAAATTGAACCAACTTTAAACCTTTATAGCTTTTTTACTATTTATTCAAAAATGATCATTTTTCATTTTTTTTGAAGCTTAGGATATTGTTATTCATTATGTGTAAAAAAAATTTCAATTTTAATTATCAAAAAAATTTTATTAGCGAAATTGCACAAAAAGTCAGCATTTTTTTCATGGCCATTTTCACTTCTATCTACGATACCCAAAAAATGTA